GCCTTACCACTGCCAGTGCCACCAAAGTTGTCCCGATCGACGCATTCACGATGCTTCCCCAATAGTGCCCAAACTGCACGATCATCACGACAATACACTGCTGCATGATTCCCAGGAGAAGCGCACCACTTACGAGTAATAGCAGTTGGGTCCACCATCGAGAAGATCTTGTCCAGGTAAGGTAACATCTCATCTTTGTCTGAAGCCTCAGGGAAGCCTCCAATCACGATCTTCAGGGCATCATCACCCATGGGCGGGCCAGGACGTGGTGGCCCAGCAACGGTAGATGCCGTACTCGCAGGCCTTGACCCTGCTCGAGCCTCCTGAGCGACTCGAAGAGCGTCCGCAGCCATCTTCTGTGCACTCTGAGCCGCCTCAACAGCTGTGTCCGCCTTCTTATCCACAGCCCTCAAATCATTTTGCACCTTCTTGAGTTTAGTGTTCACATGCCTGTCCATCCCCTTCATGTACTTGAGCAGGTCGGCATTCGTGATCTCTCGCGAGGGTGACCTGTCTGCACGTCGCCTATCCTCACCATCGGACATACCATCAGTAGACATAGCAGGGGAGCCATCAGCTCCGCGTTTAGACATGAAGCGAAATAAACCGACGGACCGTCCGCGCGCGGAGTGCGGCAGGCGCTGCTGATGCCAACAGTGCTTGAGCCAAAATGGAAGGGGGCAGGGGGAGGAGGGGGAAGGGAGGCGGGAGGAGGGAGGAGAGGGAGGAGGAAGGGGTGAGGGAAGGGGGAGGAGCGAGGAAGGGGGGTGGAAGGGGGACGGGAAGAAGGGGGGAGCGGGAAGGGGAAGGAAGAAGGACGGAGGAGGCGGTGTCCAGTGGTGTCCTGTCGTGAGATCGATCGACTGACCGATAATGAGATCGATAGTGCGATCGACAGTGAACTTGACAGTGAGATCAATACTGAGAGCGATCGTGCGATCGGTAATATCGATAATGATATCTATAGTGAGATCGATCGCGAGAGGGATAGTGAGATCGATTGTGAGATCGACTCGGTGATATCGAACACAAGATCGCTCGTGAGGCTCCGCCGTGAAAGAGCGCGTTTCGCGGGCACTTGTTTGGAACAAATTGTCACTCCCTCCCCTCAGGGCTGGACTTAAACGCTGTTTTTCGTGTTGTGTTCGTTGTGTTGTTCGTTTTGCTCTGCCCGTGTTCCTGTACCTCCCGGCCAAAACAAAAACCAAAACACAGCCGAAGTCCAACAACACAACGTTTAGGTCCAACTCTGGAGCAAAACTCCACCCCGTCCCGTGTTCGCGCTGTTGGGCCCCGTCTCGCGGTGGAACTGGGGGATGGGGGGGCCAAAAGGCCCGCCCGCCCGCCTGGCGCGAACCCCCGGGGGGGGGGGGGGAAGCGGCGACGACGAGGATGACGACGTCGACGACGACGACGCGCGAGGTGTCCAGTCGAGCGGTCCACTAAATTTAAATGACAGTGTACATCAGCAGCAACGTCAATGTATATCAAGAACAAGAACAATAACACAATCAAACACAATAACAGTAACAACAGCAACATCAACAGCAATATCAATATCAACAACAACAACAGCAACAGCAGCAGCAACAACAACAATCACTTTAAGACTGTTCGCTTCTATGTGCGCGCGTGCCAATCAGTACGTATAGCCCAAGCCCTCGGCACCCGCCCTCGTCGCCTTCGATCGTACCTCCTTGGGGGTATATCTTCCACGTGCATTTAGTGCAACCCCTAAAGCAAGGGAAGAGAAGACGGGTGGAAGGGGGAGGGAGAAGAGTGGAGCACGCGAGAAATGAGCAGGAGGGGGGCAAGGAGCAGAAACCAAGTGGTAGAACCAGACAGGCAGATCGGGTGGGCAGGCCCAAAGCGCGCAGGTCGGGAAGGCGGGCCCAGGCGACCAGGTCGAGCAGGCGGGTTGCTGAAGCCTGGGTCCTGCATGAATCGCGAGGTCTCGAGCGATAGCGAGATTCCCAAGTAAATCGTGAGACAAACCACAGCGAGAGCGTGATTCCTGAGCGCCGAGGGCGCATCGTCTGGATAATCTGCGAGGAAGTCCCACGCGAGAGCGCGATTCGTATGCAAATTGTGAGGAAGTGCGGCGCGAGAGCGCGATTTGGAAATACATTGTAAGGAAGTATCAGGCCGGAACCGTTGTTGTTGCAAACCGCGGGCCAACAAACCAGTTTGAGCCCAATGGCTTTCCCTAAAAAACAGCAAGGTGCGAGCCCCGGGGGAAGCATTTCAATTGAAAGAAAACAATGGTCACTGGAGGGGGGATCAACAATAATTGTTTTTCAATAGTGAGCGTTCAACAACAACAAGCACCGGAACCATTCGGGCCGAGAAAACAAGCAAACGATAACATAAACAAGGGTCTTGGAAAACGAGTCAGCGACTCAAGGGCAGAGACCACGATATGACGAGACAACGAACCATGGTCGGAGAAAACGAAATAGCGACCGAAGGGCCGAGAAAACTATAATACAAACAAAATCGAAGAGAACAAGACCGCGATCCAGGGGCCGAAAAAAAGAGAAAAGAAGGCAACGGGGCCAAGGCCAGAGAAAACAATACCGCGAGCCACGGGCCGTGAAAACAAGAAAAGGACAAAACGAACCAGGGTCGGAGAAGTCGAGACCGCGACCCAGAGGAAGAGAAACCGATAAGCTATGTAACGAACCGAAGTCCGAGAAAACGGGACCGCGACACAAGGGCCGAGAGAACGAGAAAACTAGAAACCGAAGCAAGGTCGGAGAAAACGAGGCCGCGACCCACGGGGCAGATAAAAAGCGAGACATTTCGAAGCCGAGCCAGGGTCGGAGGAACCGACACCGCGACCCAGAAGCAGAGAAGACGAGGACACGAGCTAGGGTCGGAGGAAACAAGACCGCGACCCGAGGGCAGACAACACGGGAGAAGGAGCCAGGGTCCGAGAACACGGGGCCGTGACCCAGGGGCCGAGAAAGCTGGACAGCGAAGCAGCTGGCCAAGGTCGGAGACAACGGGGCCGCGACCCAGGAGCCGGGAACCTCGCCATCGCTCGGAGGTCCATTCCCTGTGTGTTTTTTTCGGTTTCGTGCGTGGCTTTTTCGCCAGAGGATCAGGGATGCTCCTCGATTGTCCTCGCCGAAAGAAAAAGGCACACGTCCGAGCGATGCCGAGGCCACGAGGCAACGAAGGAAGCGCGACCGCGGCCCGAGGGACCCCGAGGCAACAAAGCAGCGAACCAAGGTCGGAGGCGCCGGCCGAGCGCTCGGAACATTTGAAGGGGCCCTGGGACACGCAAACAAATACACACAAATAAAATGATTCCCCATATTTTTCCATATTTTCTGGGTTTCTGCCTTCCCCCCCACTTCCCATATTTTCCAATATTTTCCGGGGGATCGACGATTCATTGTGTTTGTGCGTGTTTTTCCTGAGCATTATCTGTAAATCTTGCCCTCGCCGATTGGGCATCAACTCGGGCGAGCGGGCCGGGACAGAAATTGTAACCATCACTCTGTGACGCGGAATTGTTAGCGGGAGAATGCACCAGAACCTCTGAGGAGGCTGGTCAAGCGGGCGGGACAATCAGTGACACCTTCACCACCGTCGCCGTCGTCGTCGACGTCGTCGCCGCCATGGTCGTCCTCATCCTTGTCGTTCTGGCCGCCGTCGTCGTCGTCGTCGTCGTCGTCGTCGTCGTTGTCGTCGTCGTCGGCCCCCTCCCCCCCCTGGGCTCCGAACGCGGGGGGGACCTTACAAACGACCACAGAAAACGCTCTTTCCCCGTTGGTGTCCCGTCAGTGTCCCGTCGGTGTCCCGTAGTGAGATCGATAGTGAGATCGATAGTGAGATCGACAGTGAGATCGATAGTGAGACCGATAGTGAGATCGATAGCGAGATCGAATGTGGGCTCTGTAGTGAGATCGACAGTGAAGTCGATGGTTGAATCGATAGTCAGATCGGAAGTGAGATCGATCGTGAGATCGAAAGTGAGATCGATAGTGAGATCGATTGAGTAAAACGTTGGCTCCTTCCCCCGAACCTCCTTATCGCCCGATGGGTGGTCGTACAAGTATGAATGCTACCAAACTTTTCTTCGAAGACGGCCTGACAGTCGCGCGCCGCCCTCCGCGTATTCTTGTGTGCACGCAAGATGGGTCCGAATGAGTTTTCATGATGTGATGCTTCAGTCCGGACGTTGTCGGTCCGTCCACATCGGTGCTCCCGCTGCAGCGCGGGCATAATGGCGCTCTCGCTCCAGCCCGGGCCGAGTCCTTCCTCATCGTCGTCGCCCCCCTCCTTTCCCCTCCTCCGCTTTCCCCTGGTCCTCCTGCTCCTCCCGCTCCCTCCACTCCCAACTTTTGCTGCTGCTGCTGTTCGTCCTCGTCTTGCTGCTGTCTTCATCTCTTCCTTTTCCTTCTGCTCATCCTCCTGCTCATTCGCTACCTCCTCCTCCTCCTGCTCCTCCTCTGTAACCAACTCCACTCTTCCGACTGCGCACAACAAGATGTTTTGCTTTTCTTTCCAGATCCGCCTATGACACGCGTTCGCGGATGCAGAACACATTAGAGCAATGGAAACGGATGCGTGTGATGTCAGATGTAGCGCGGGCGCACCTGGCTTGTCCTCCCCCCTCTCCTCCCTTCTCCTCCGCCGCCTCGTTCACCCATCGTTTGATCCTCTCTCTCTCTCTCTAACTCCTCCTCCCTCCCTTCCCACGTTCCCATTTTCCTTCTGCGCTCGTGTTCTCACTCCTCTTTTCCTCCTCCTCCTCCTACTCCTCCTCCTCCTCCTCCTCCTCCTCCTCCTCCTCCTCCTCCTCCTCCTCCTCCCCTCCTACCCCCCCTTCCCCTCCTCCCTATTCCCCACTCCCACTCTCCCCCTCCCCCCCTCTTTCACATCATTTCCTTTCACTTCTCTCTCCTCCCACATCCCCCTCTCCCAGCCCTCGCTAGGTCATGGCGCAGACTGCCCCCTCACCTCCTCCGCCAAAACCGCCGCCAGAAAGCCTGCCCAGAATACGCCGTCGTACTTGTCCGGCCTGCTGGCCGCGACCAGCCGGTCCCCAGGCTTGACATTCACATCCACGTCTATCTCCTCGTCCTCGTGGGGCGTCGGGAAGGGCGGGAGGGAGGAAGGGGAGGGACTAAGGGGGGAGAGGCAAGCTAGGTGAGCTCTCGTCATATCTGACATCCCACCCTCCCACACATGGCCTCACCATTTCTGTGGATTGTCATTTCCGCCGACTGGGGTGTGCTAGAAGGCCTTGACCCTCAAAGTGGCCCCATCGCTCGTCGCGCAAATAGGAGGTGGTTGTGTGTAAATGCGTTGGCATTGGATGATGATGAGGAGGCGTATGGGATGATGAGCAGGATTCATATGATGAATGTGAGGATGACGAAGACGATGAACAACAGCAGGAGCAGGAGTACGAGGATATAGACCAGGGGAAGGCGGAGGAGGGGGAAGGATGGGTGCGGCAACGACGAAGAAATACTCGGGTCCAGAAATGTGGCCCGTGCTGTGGCGAGAGCGCCATTCCGAGCGACGAGAGCTTAACGCCGATCCAGGAATGAGGCCAACACTGCAGTGGGAACACTTCTGGGACCGCGAAGGTTCCGATCGAAAACCCCCACATTAGAATGCCAACTGCAAACGGCCCCCCAAAGGTCCCCCCAAGAAGCCCTCAAGCGGCCCCAAAAAATGCTTCCAAATTGAGCCCGAAGAGGCCCCCCCCGAGAGACCCAGAAGAGGCCCCGGATTCACTTCAAGAACTGCCTCCGAGAGGCTCCGCCAGGCCCCCAAACAGCTTCCAAGGCGACCACAAGAATCATTTCGTGTCGTGCTGACTTCGGCGTTGGTTTCTGACACCGCGGGCATCGTTCAACCTTGAACGATCGGCCGTTTCCGAAACGTCCAAATCGTTCCACATCGAACGATTCTGGGTCGCCCGCGGCGGCTAACGCTGAACGCCGCTGGCGGGGTCGCCGCCGGTTGACACGACACGGACCTACCGTAGTGCCCCCCAAACCCACGACGCCTCAAAAGTGGACTCCAATTCTGAAGGGGCCCTGGGACACACACAAATAAATACACACAAATAACCGGATTCCCCATATTTTCCCATATTTTCTTGGTATTCGTCTTTCCCCCCACTTCCCATATTTTCCCATATCTTCTGGGAAATCGACGAGTAATTGTGTGTGTGTGTTTTTTCCCCTCCTGAAATTCTCTTCTGCAAGGGCTCCCAACTTCGCGCTTCGCGCTTCGCGAATAACTTCGCGCTCTCGCGCCGCCTCCCAGGAGAGAAGAGGAGGATGAGGAGGAATCCGAGCCGAACCGCGAAGCGCGAATAACTTCGCGCCCTCGAGGGCGCCCTTGCTTCTGGGGGTGGGCGGAACGGCGCAAGCCTCTTGCAAGGGTCAGCAGGCACCCACCACCGCCTCCGCCTCCGCCTTCGGGCCTCTGGAAGCCGCCGCCCCTGCCGTGACAGCTCCACGGCCTGGGCGCCCGCGCTCCCTGCCCGGTGCCCGCCGCCTCCGCTCCCAGAGATCCCGCCCCAGGCCCTCACAAGATTATCCACAGACCAACTGGTCGACCTTGTTTTTGGACGCCCGAAATGGGTACTGAAACAGTGGGCACAATGCCCAACAACAAATGTTGTTCCAAAATAACAGCGGCCGCTGTTGGGCAGGCGGCCTTCTGTCTCGAATGGACACAAGCCGCGGCGGCGTGGACAGCGAGTCCTGTACAACATGAACAGGAACTGCTGTTGGGCATCGTTCCCATTTGTTCCGTGCCCGTCTCGTTCGTGCAGATCATAAGATTATCGACAGACCAACTGGTCGACCTCGTTGGCCACGTGCGGTGCAACTACGGCCCGGCCATCAACCAGCTCTGGGTCAGCTTCTTGCAGCAGGTGTCGGGAAGGCCGCCAAGTGGCCCCAGCAGGGCTAGAGGGCACCTTCATGCGACGTTTCCTCACGACACTGTGGGAGGATGGGGCAGTCCAGGACGCCGGCCAGTTGGATCGGGGATAGTGGAGCAGGGTGGAAACTTGCACGCAGCTCATGCTCGCCCACGCAGTCTTCTGCGTGATCAGTCCTGGTGGATTCAGCGCGCGGTCTGTGACAGGTATCTGCCAGAGCTCCCTGAGGGAGTCGCCAACGTCCCCATGTGCATGCCCGACGATCTCCTTATGGACTTTGTCCAGACGCTCGGATCAGGCCCTTTCCAGCGCTGTCCTTTTCTGCGGGCGGGCACATCATGGCTTGCGCACCTGCCGCCAGCCCTCCAGGACGAGTGCGCGTTGACCTGGCTCCGGCGCCAGCAAGCACAGCGGCTGTGCTGCCAGACCTGGAACCACCCCCGCCGCCCGCCTACCCAGCGCTGTCGAACCGCTTCCTGGACGCCCTGGCCCCGGTCACGCCGATCGACCCACCATGCCGGCTGGACCGCAAGGATAAGACCATCTCCCCACCTGATGGTGGACCGCGCTAGGCAGCTCCATCCTGGAATCGAGGCGTGGAACGATTCTGTCCAGGAGCACGGCCAAAGGACCGGGGCCGTGGCGCGTGCGCCACCTTCCTGAGGCTGGCTTTGTGGCGGCGCCATGCCCAGCTCTGGCGCACCAGCCAACTTTCCCTGGGACAGAATGCGGGCCGCTCTGGCCCACGTCGTTGCCTGGGGCCCAACTAGCAAAAAGGGCAGGACACGGAGCGAGGGCAGCAACATCGACGACCCGAGGGCGGCGTGGAAGTGGAAGCCCTTCCTGAGCCCGCGAGTGGCCGCGCGCGGCGCCGACCCGTCCAGATGTGGCGGGGACGCCCTGGCGTCCTTCTTGGCGCGCCGAGGCATCCGCGGCACGAGCTCCCCAGCCCTCGCCCGCTGCCGCCGCCCCGCCCTTCCTGGCGAGGCAATGGGCGCCCCCCCCCCCCTGGGGGGCCGCGCTTGGCCAGCCACGGGGGCGAGGGCCCCAGGCGCGCGCCACGGGAATTTCCAGCCCTCGGCTCCCCCGCCGAGCCGATCCCACGCGCCAGGGCGGCCCGCCTGGCCGACCCCTGCGAGGGGAAGACTGACGAGGCTGATGGGCCACCTTTTTCCACCACCACTACCATGTGCAGGACGGGGAGAAGGGAGAATGGGGAGGTTCTCCTCCTCCTCCTCCTCTTCTTCTTCTTCTTCGTCTTCGTCTTCGTCTTCTTCTTCGTCTTCTTCCTCTTCCTCCTCCTCCTCCTTCTCCTCCTCCTCCTCCTCCTCCTCCTCCTCCTCCTCTTCCTCCTCCTCCTCCTCCTCCTCCTCCTCCCTCCCATACCTATGGCAATGGTGGCGGAGACTCGGCCCGTCAGAGGCTGCTCCCGGGGCAACCGACGACGAAACCGCACCTCCCCCGCGCGAGCAGGCGGCCGGGGAGGCGGCGACGGGAAGGCCCCGCTCCAGCCCTGTCCTGACTGGACGGTTTCCTCCGGTGCCACAGGTGACCCGAGGAGGGGAGTGCGAGGAGGGCGAGGAGGGCGAGGAGTGCGAGGAGGGCGAGGAGGGCGAGGAGGGCGAGGAGGAGGAGGAGGAGGAGGAGGAGGAGGAGGAGGAGGAGGAGGAGGACGGGTCGCCTAAGCCCCTCGGAGAAACCCTGCACCCCTGACAACCCAGACCAGCCAGGGAGCGCGAAGACGGGCGATGAGCACCGCCTCGTTTGCCCCTCCATCGGAGCGACGGTCAAAAACGGGTCTGGCGCGAGATGGCACAGCGATCTTACGCGGCGGCTTAAGCGGGCCACTAGCGCGGCAAGCTGCATTGGAGACGAGGGCACTTCCGCGCGATTGCGCGGGCAGCTTGCGCGCCAATGTCGGCGCAGATGACCCAGTTTTTTTGCGTCGCTCATCTGCCCAGCCGTCGCACATCAGCGCGCGGGCATCGCGCCAGACGTGCAACCAAGGTCGCGCTGACGGCGTGCTTGGTTAACGGTGCGGTTGGGAATACTGTTTTTGTGGCACCGGGCTCACGCAAAACAATATGTAGGACATCACGAAACACCTTTCCTACACTTCAAACATACGACTGCATCGAACGAAAACGACACAGCGAGTTGTAGGAAAACACGGACCACGCATTCCTACACTTGCTCTGGCCACGAACCACGCCTTCCTACCGTTGGACTTCCTACTTCGCCGTTCCACAACCCAGCCCCGGCCACCGCCCCGGCCACCGCCCCGGCCACAGCCCCGGCCACCGCCCCGGCCACCGCCCCGCCGGCCTGAGGGATCTTGGTGGGGGGGCTGGCGAGGGTCTTGTGGGGCTGCGGGTGACGTTCTGTCGTAAGTTGGGGGTGTGGTGGTCATGCCTAAGTCTCTAGGGGAGGGGTCTCGAGCTAGATCGTTCCTACAGTTGGACTTTTTACTTCGCCATTCGCTAACGCACCGTTAGCGCGCCTGCGGTGCAAGCAGGCCACTGCCCGGAGGGCCAAGGGTGGCGGCGGCGCGCGCCCCCCCGTGCTGGCGCGGGCGGGCCGGCGAGGCGGGTGGGCGGCTCTGGCCTGCCCTCACCGCCCCAAAGGGGCCCTGGGACACACAAAGAAACATACGCAGATCCCAGGATTCCCACGCATTTTCCTAGTTGCTTTCTGGGTTTTCGTCTTCCCCCCGCATTTGTCAACATCTTCCAGTCTTTCCCTTGGGATCGACAATCAGTTGTGTGTCTGGGTGTTTGTGTCGGCGGTGGACAAACCTCCCTTTAGTACACCTCCCCTTGGTGAAAACGGCCTGGGACCGGAACCGACGGACCTGGACCCGCAAAAATGACGGCCGCGACGCCCTCTCGCGAACCGAAAACGGCCAATTCCTCAATCGACGTGTCAGGGTAGGAGGTCTATCCACCTCCGACTGTGCCCCTCCCGGCACCCCGGCAGAGCGGCGGGAGCGGCGGGATGGAAGTGCGCGCGGGGCCTGCAGCTCTGCGCACGCACACTGGGGCCCAGCGGCGCACCCGTCTGGGCCGGGGCAGGCCGTGCGCGCCTGGCCTGGATCGCCCGCGGAGAGACGCCGCGCCAGCGCTGCCGGCGGGAGATGGGGGTCGGAGTACAGTCAAAAACCTCAATAATGACGCGC